CTCGGAGAATTGCTTTCAGAGCACTTCAAGCCTAATGTCAGTGTGTTGGGGGCGACTCATAGATTCCAGAGGATTTGTCAAAAGGATGGAGAGTCAGCAACACAGTATGCAGCTAGACTAAAGCAAGCAGCCATGGACTGTAAGTTTCAGGCGTATTTGGACAGGGCACTCCGAGACCAGTTTGTCAGTGGGTTGAAGTCGATGAGTGTTACGAAGGAGATATTGTCGAAAGCAAAGGAGACCTCAAGTTTGGCGGACATTGTGACGATGGCATCAGCCTATGAAACTGCTTCGAGAGAGTCGGAACAATTGACGGCGCAGTCCGTCCACGCCGTTCGTTCGCGCCAGTCGACGAGCAAGCCAACTCCAACTTTCAAGTCGCACGACAAGAAATGTTTTCGGTGTGACAAGGCTGGTCACAAACCGGAAGAGTGCCGCTTCAAGAGTGTGAAGTGTCACGCGTGTGGTACGGTGGGTCACATCGAGAGAGCTTGCCGCAAGAAGAAGTCTGGACAAACCGTCCATCACATCGCGGAAGAAATTGGTGAGTTCGTTCCATGTGCTAGTAAACCCGATGTCACCATGTATAGTGTAAATGCAATGGGGCGACTACCGTACACTGTGTCATTAGATGTAATGGGTACCACTATCCAAATGGAGATTGATACGGGAAGTGCTGTCACGATTCTCAGCAGCGCAGATTTTTTGCAATGCAATGGTGTGCTGAGTAACCTGATGGAATCCAGTATCAACCTTGTGTCCTACTCTGGAGATGTGATTAATTGTCTCGGGGAAGCGGAAATGGAGTTCCGAATGGGCACACAATTGCACACACTATTGGTGAGGGTTACAAATGGAAACCGTCCATCTATTCTGGGCAGAGATGCAATGGCTTTGTTCAAACTCCCCTGGAAATCAATTTTCGAAGTGCACCAGGTCGAAAAGTCTGGCGCTAAATTCATTGAGAAATACCCAGGGTTGTTCGACACCTCAGAAGTGGGAAAGGTGAAAGGCGTGCAGGTGAAATTGCATGTGTCTGATGAGAGCCCTGTTTACCGAAAGGCAAGGCCGGTACCACTGTCAATTCGGGAGAGCTATGTTGAGGCTCTGAATAAATTGGAAGCAGATGGTATAATCGAGAAAGTCACGCATTCAGAATGGGCCTCCCCCACTGTCACGGTAGAGAAATCAGGAGGTGGGTTGAGAATCTGTGGTGACTACAGTGGCACTATCAATCTGCATTCTAAATGCGAGCAATACCCGCTACCCACTCTTGAGGAGCTATTGCACAAATTGGGCCCGGGGTCTAAATTCACGAAGCTGGATTTCTCGCAAGCCTACCACCAGCTAGAGATAGCACCTGAATGTCGGAAGTACCCCACGATCAATACCATGCAGGGGTTGTATCAGTACAAACGACTCCCTTTTGGTTTTCACAGCGCCGTATCTATTTTCCAACGGGTAATGGAAGAAACCCTTAGCGATTTGCCAGGATGCGGGGGCTACATCGACGATGTGTTGTGTACTGGTCGTGATGAGGAGATCCATGAGAAAAATGTGGATCAAGTGCTATCTTGCCTAAATGAGAAAGGATTCAAGCTCAATCCTAAGAAGTTCAGCTACATGGCGGATAAGCTAACGTACCTCGGTCATCAGGTAACCGCGCAGGGAATCGCACCCTCGCCTGATCGAGTGAATGCCTTGAAAGTCGCAAAGCCGCCTAACAACGTGAATGAATTGTACTCTTTTCTGGGTGCGGCCAATTTTCAACGGAAGTTTGTACCTCGGTTCGCAGAGATTGCTGCACCACTGTACAACCTGCTCAGGAAAGAAATGAAATGGCAATGGAGCAAGGCAGAGGAAGATGCATTCCAGGCCTTGAAAGATGCAATGTGTGAGCATACGCTATTAGCACACTACGATGTCAAGAAGCCAGTCACACTCCAGGTGGACGCTTCTCCAATGGGTCTAGGTGCCGTACTATTGCAAAGGCAAACGAATGGTGATGTTTTGCCGGTTGCTTACGTGTCAAGGAAATTGACACCGGCTGAATCGCGTTATGCACAAATCGAACGGGAAGCCGTAGCTGTGGTTTTCGGTGTTAAGAAGTTCCAGAAATACTTGCTAGGGCGCCACTTCACACTTCAAACCGACCATCAACCACTATTGAAGTTACTGGGAAACAACGAACCAGTTCCTACACTTGCATCAGCTCGCATCAAGAAATGGGCACTAATGCTAGCTGGCTATGATTATGAGATCAAGTATTTGCTAGGCAAGGAAAATGTCTACGCGGATTTCCTGTCTAGGCAACCATGTGGGAATATCAGTCCGTCTGCAGAGGAAATGGTTACGGTTCGTGTCTTGCTAGTGGAGGAAGATACGATAATCAAAGCAGACGTAGTGAAATCGGAAACAGCTCGTGACCCTGAGCTATCTAAGGTGCTCTGCTATGTGGTGAATGGTTGGCCTAGCTCAGTACCCCAATCGTTTCGGTCTTACCACAATAAGAGGGATGAGCTGTCTGCGGAAGATGGTATCCTATTGTGGGGACAACGAGTTGTCATACCCAAATCACTAAGAATGGTATTGCTACGTGATTTGCACACGGAGCACTTTGGCATGGTCAAAACCAAGCAAATGGCACGACGGTACCTATGGTGGCCAAATGTGGATCAAGAGATTGAAATGTTAGTCAAGGCATGTGCTCAATGCCAAGAAAGTGCGAAATGTCCACCTGCCAAGTCGGGAACCTGGTCATGGCCAAACGGTCCTTGAAAACGGGTGCATATCGACTTTGCAGGACCATTCATGGGCAAGATGTTCCTGGTTGTGGTGGATGCATACACAAAGTATCTGGATGTAATTGCAATGTCTAATGCCACGTCTGCAACCACTATTGCGGCTCTGCGGCACGTGTTCTCTGTGTTTGGTCTGCCGGAGCATCTTGTTTCAGATAATGGAACCCAATTCACGAGCGAGGAATTCAAGGCTTTCCTCCGTGCCAACGACATTGTGCACACCCTGACGGCTCCAGGCCATCCGGCTACGAATGGACTTGCTGAGCGCTATGTGGGTGTGTTTAAGCAGAAGTTGAAGGAAATGGGTGCAACGAGCGAACCACTGCAAGCTCGGCTCGACAGGTTTCTGCTAACGTACCGCACGACACCCAACCATGCCGGCAGAACACCTGCGGAGATGATGTTTGGACGCCAGCCACGCACGCGGCTCAGTGCTCTGCGTCCCTCGCAGGTACGTCAACAGGCAAAGGCTTATGAGGACGGCAATCGCGTCAAGCCAGCGTTCACAGAGAGTGACTCTGTGTTTGCGCTGAATTTCGGCAAAGGTAATCGTTGGGTCCCGGGACGAATTGTGCGTGTCCTCAGTGACTACAACTATGAAGTACAAGTGGGTGATGTGTTGTGGAAGCGTCACCGAGATCAGTTGCGTCTACAGTCAGTTCCGGCAAGCTTGAGTGCATCGCTGCCAGAACCACTGTTGGATACAATCGATCAGACATCACCGTCACCAGTGCTGTCAGACGTAGGAGAGTCGTCACTGTCCAGTGATTTTCCGGCTAGCGTCTCGCCACAGTCTGCTACTGTACAAGTTGAGGCGGATCCTCCTTGTGAGCAGTCTGCTCCTGAAGTTGGTTTACCACAGGTCGAGAATACTCCCTGTGAAACCACTGTTAGACGTTCGTCTCGGCGTAGTGTTCGTCCGGATAGACTGATTGAACAGTTTTGAGCCGTTCCCTGATATGTCATTGCTGGACTGTTTAGCGAACTAGTAATTATTACCATGTACAATAGTGTGCAAGATCCTTGGTATTGCTAATATGGACTGACGGATTCCTGCGTCAGATTATGTTATTGTAGTGCTGTGTCAAAGTTTAAGAATTCACGTACGGGGGATTGATGAACTTATTTTATGTGTTGCTTCAACGATTTTGAGGTATTTAATTGTGGTAGAATATTCCCTGGAACATTCTTGAAAGGGGGCAGTTGTTGTGTATGCAAGTTAGTCATTATATATCTACTACACCGTTTGTTACTGTATTGCGCATGCTCGCATATGGTTGTTGTTGTTACTTTACCTGACCAAGAGGAATGTCTTCCAAATGCTAGTGTTTGTGTGTGTCAGTGAGAATGCATGAGTGTAATGGAATGTTAGTCCGCAAGGGGACATTCCACAGATCGAATCATTGTTTTGTTGTAGCAGTTGCAGGGCAGATCCCCGCCACTACTTCAACAGGAAATGGCTCCAAAGCATGCCTGGAACAAGCCATATCGAGGTTGCAAGCCACCCCTCTCAGCAAGAAATTCGAAATTTCAATGGTGGAAGATATCCTATGAAGAGAATTTCAAAAAGTATGTTTCGCGGAGCGATCGCTCAACCTACGTCATTCAAACTTTGCAGGATGGTTCAAACGTACATGCTAGGCATGGAAACACAGGAGATGATATCATAGCTGACACACAGAGTCACACACAGCAGATTCGTGTGCACAGATACTAAATTAGTAGACGTCGTTATATTCTTCCCGCTGATCTCAAATATACTATGACGTGCTATTTCGCCTGACGTCTTTCACTTGTGATTTTCTCCTCCCCTCCCCATTACTTCCCATTACTATTATCAATAAATTTGCCATGCCGTGTATGTCGCTCACATGTATAAAAGGAGGCGCCACCGCCTGTTTGTGTAACTCTAAAGCTGGTTTTCCAACTCGGCAAATCAGTTGATCTATGCGACTTTGTGCCTTTGTAGCACGTTGACGTTTGTATAGCAAAAGGCATGCAACAATGTTATTGAAAAGACCCTAATGTATTATCTGCATCAAAACTTGTTTCATTCATTCAAAAGGATCAAAAGATTAACTCCATCATTGAATAGTGTTCAATGTGAAGACTAATATGGGCACAAGTGCTGAATATTTCCTATTGCTGATTTGAATACGTAAGTCGAAGCTTTCGATTGCCAGACCATGTAGAACTCACATTTTGGCATTGTTTGGGCACGACATGAGAACTCCGTTTGTACATGTACACAGTCCACAGGCATTGGAAGGTTCACTCCAAGCTAGCACCATACAAATCACGGCCACCGATAAGAGCTGCAAATATCCAAAGGAAATGAGCAGATGCACAACCAGAACAGAACAGAAAATGTTACTGCTTCTGCTAGGAACTCCAAAATACAACACAGCAGTGTTATCAATTACCTAAACATAATATTTGTATACGTACGCAAGGACGCTAAACATTCTAATTTTGCGAACAAGATGAGAAAATCAACGCTGAGGTGCAAAAATATAGGTAGAATCTGGATAAATCAAACCCCAGTATGCCAGGGCATTCCAATTATCCAACCCCTAGAACATATGCCCGTTTTGAGGTTCGAATTACCAGACTTTGCTATTCCCGTAGCTATGCAAAAGGTGTTACTTCAGTAACGTATTGCGCTAGCCAGGGTTCACACAGCTTTAATGCCATGTGTCTGCGTGTTTGTGTCGTCGTGTACGTCGGCATGCCTGGCGCTATCTCGTACCTGTCTCGTACCGTACCATCAGAGACAGCTAGCCACACTATTCAAATAGGACTTTCAAATGCAAGATCATAACGTGCAGCAGCTTGGAAGAATGAGTATGTATGCAAAGTGTATCGGGGGGATGCATACGGTGCGATAGTGCGGGTTCGAATCCTAGGTTAAGTCTTGAGTAAATTAGGAGAGGTGAAAAATACATAACATCACTATTGTTTTTTGCCTAGGTCATCAAGGTGGTAGACGGTGTCGTATTACCTTCGAATGCAAAGAGAAAGTTATTTTCTTTCGCTCAGGGCCCTACGCTATGCTTTTTTGCCTAGCTCATCATGCATGTTATTCGAACGGATGGAAACTGTTGCTGTACAATGATGATGTAGCCGATCAGATCGTTGTGGTATGGTTGGGCATTGTAGCCGTCATGGTCGACGTAAAACACTACAGCCAATCAATGGAAAAAAAACATTTCCAACAGTTCTAATAACATGCATGACCTAGGCAAAAAAAAAAGCTTAGCGTAGGGCGTTGAGCTTCCAAGCTCTCTCGTGTTGAATTCGTTTGTTATATCAAGAGTAGTAAAATTACGATTGAGCTGGCTTTAAACTCTGATAAGGCTCTTGGCGGCAACGTTGCTCATTGGTCGTTTCCTGGACAACGAGACAGACCCCGTTTTAAATACTAAATAGCATAATACAATATTGCGTAACATGTTTCCCATTCTTTAGTCCGCTGTACCACAGAAACACACTAGCCGAAAAGCATCTAAACGAAGCCATGATGCGCTTCTAGCAGGGCACAGAACTGAAGGTGGCTGGGCTAGTAGTACAGTTGTGGCAAGTGAAAGCCGACACTTGGCATAAGGGACTGCACCATGCAGTCTGCAGCCCCTGCAGCCCTGCATACGTACAGTACATGTGTTACATACAACTTTATCTGTCTGATGACAAAACTCGTACTCATCACAGTCAAGGTTCAAAAGGTGCTGGCAAAAATGAATGGGGATTGGATACCAATACTCCTTATGTGTACCATATTTGTGAACTGTGTGTATCTACGCTGTGACCTTTCGGGATGCATACGGCTCTATAGTACAAATTAGGTGCAGTGCATTACATCATTGGTGTCCATTTGTGGCGCTGTCCCCTATGGCAAGTGTCGGATTTCACTTGCCACAACTGTAGTAGAAGTATTAGTAGTGTGTATTAGACTAGGGAGTCCCAACAGGCATGGCCCCGCCATTGTTACAGGGAACCCTAGGTGAATCTTTGTGAGGTGAGCAAATGTATCAGCAGATTGTGCCCGACGACAATTTGGAGGAATAGCATTCCACCAACCTGCCGCCAGAAATGAAACCGAGCGCAGTCCATGCTCAATTTCTACAGTAGGTAATACTAAGGCAGCTGTATCCTGGCCAAAAGTACAAGCATTTTTGTGTGCGCCAGCTGAACGCAGGAGAAACAGTGACTGAAGGAGGGGGCTGGCAATTGATGACAAACAGTGATAGACCAAACAGTATAGTTTCAAATTAACTCTATGCTCAAACGAATGCAGATGACACCGTTGTTCATGCAGTTGGGGTCATTCAATCTAAACCAAATGCCTTCTTCATCGCAATATGGCTGACCATTACAAGCCTGCAATATGGGGTAGTTTTCAAGCAGTGCATATATGCATTACAGTTGAACATCGATTACCCGCACATCGACTATCCGACCATTCGATTATCCGTAACAGTTTTTTTGGGCGCACGTGCCGTAGAGTACGCACTGTGCATGTAGTGAGCCATTCAAAAAATACGAAAATTTTGAAAAGTAAAAAGGTCGTGCGGCTAGTAATAACCACTGAAAGTGTGCGAGTGACAGTTTTTTCTTATCCGGAACATTTGCCTTATCTGAACACCGCCTGACAGTTGTCTGCCCAGAGGTGGTCGGATAATCGATGTTCAACTGTACTTGCAAATCCAAGATAAAAAAAATCATAGATTAGTATGTATCTAATATTGACTGAGTACGAGGTCAATATAGGAAATAAAAGCCGAGTAAAAGACCGAGGCGAAGCCGAGGTCTTTTACGAGGTTTTTATTTCCTATACTGACCAAGGACGAAGTCAATATTAGATTTATCACGACGAACAGTCCGTATTTATAATTCCAGAACAATCACCTCATGAAGCCCGGTTTAATGATTGCACAACCGTTGCACAATGCAGTGACCATGCTACATAGTTTAGGCACCATTCAACTGCGCAACCCCTAAGCAGTCAAATATATAGGCAGTCAATAGACAATATAGCCCTAAGGAGTGAAATATGCAGGAATATTTGACTGCTTAGGTATAGCGAAAATCAATGGGTTGTCGTCGCTTTCAAAATATTGGGCAGAACTGCCCGTTTGACATGCGATGTAATAAACAACAGTAAGAACTTGGTGTTTTTTTACAACATTCACATCATCTTTGTTCAATATGTGTACATTTTGCGTACTACACCATTGTTTTGGTCGATTGGGCCAGCGTTGCTCCGACTACAGCGTCTGCTTGCACTCAATCCAGATTTGCCAATCGATGAGACCCCCTGCTTAATAACAAGCTGGACCATTTACTCTGCTGCTTGTTATGACCAGCGCGAGCGGTGAAAGTACAATGTGAGATTTAGACCACGTGATGTGTGAAACTTTCGCTGTTGGCGAATCTCAATCTATATGTTATAATTTTGCAGATATATTCCCAGTATTAAAGCCATGAACGGAGACCCCCTCGACTTAGGCCTCGGCCTTTGGGGAATCCATAAATAAATAAATAAAAAATCTAGGACATGCAGATTTAGAGATTAGACATTCTTGGGCACTTATGATAATTATGTTCTTGATGACACAGTACAAGTGACAACTATCTCTTGTTGGCGATGGTGCCATCGTCAGTATAAATAATTCAACAAAGAAAACTAACAGCTATAGAATTATCGAGTACTTACACACACGTTTGAAGCGTTCATGATGTCCTCCTTGCAAACAGCTTGTGAGATACAAGAATATTATGCCACATTCAAATTTGGGTTCCCTCTCTCGACAGCCCTCCTTCTGTTACGAAATGCCGATTGGTCGTACAGAGAAATACCAGTACTACTACTATTAGTGTTTTTCGGAAAAGCAGGGCCAAAGTGCTCCTACTCTTGGCAATGGTAATGATGACAGTGAAAGAAGAACTGTGCACGACTACATGTACCGGGTTCATGCACGGTGTTTACATGAGGCGTTTCAACCCGGGTTGAGTTCGACCCGGGTCAGATTTCAACCCGCCATGTGCATAAAATGAATGGCGCGTTTACATGACGCATTGTGCTTGACCCGGGTTGAAATTTCGCCCCGGGTCGATTTCAACCCTCCCCCCAAGGGGAGGGTTGAAATCAACCCGGGTCAAGAAAATCGTACAAACGTACTTCTGTGCGTATCTCGCGCCAGGTTTGAACGGCACTGCAGATGCAAATTTCGCGCGAACGGATTCACGTGACCATACAGGACTGTAGAAGTGGACTTTTGGCGGCATATCAGTATTTGACCCGGGTCAACCTGGGCAACTGTCGTCATCATGTCAACGCTCACCTCTTTTGTCTATCGTACAGACTATCAACCCGGGCTGAACTCGACCCGGGTTGAAATTTCTCATGTAAACACAGCCTTGCTATACTGATAGGCTTTGTTCTCGCACAGCGATAAGCCACATCTCTTTTGTCTATCGTACAGACTTTCAACCCGGGCTGAACTCGACCCGGGTTGAAATTTCTCATGTAAACACAGCCTACGTTAGGAGAGGGTTGAAGGGGAGAGTTGAAATCAGGGAGTAGTACAATACCTACTACTCCCTGGTTGAAATCAACCACTGGTATCCCTTTGATGTGTAATCATTGATTTACATGACTGTACACTGCTTGTTCTTTCACTGTATCTTTTGTACAGTATCTCACTGTTTCCGATCTCATTTTGCACATTTTCTCTTTTTTCCAACTCCAATGCATTAATGTTCATTGCATATACACAAATAGGAGATCCCCCCGATAGGCGTCAGCCTTTGGGTAATCCTGAAATAAAGATTATTATTATCATTAACCATTACATCGGCGCGGCGATGGAGAAATTTGGAACCACCGTTGGTCTCCCAAAGCGGGAAGAAAAGTCTGTGGATGGCTGTACGTTCACGACTGGCACTATCCGCACTGTATTTGTAAATGTTGTACCCAAGTCCGCCATGCCGTCTACAATCGTGCTGTCTGGCTCCCATATGGTGCAGTGGTATGTGCAGCGATTTCCAATCGATAGATTGCGGGTTCGATTCCCGACGATTATGGTCACACACGTCTTTCTTCTCTTCTCAGACTCTTCCTGACTTTCCTTTCATTCTCCTGGGTGGTTACCAACAGCCAGTGCATGCCGGAGTATGTGGTGTGATGTGTGTGCGGGAAAAAAATTGAAAAGACCAAATATAGGGATTCACTGGCCAGAGAAAGTCACTTCAAAATAGCTGTATGGTGTAGACCAGGCTGAATAGTGGCGGTCAATTCTTCAGCCTTGCAAGCTGTTGAATGGTGCAATCCCAGCACAAGTTGCTATGGCTTCTGCCGTAGCATTGCTATCATCGCCTCCGGCGATGGGCGTCAAAGGTCAAAGGTCAAAGGTCAAGGTCTGGCTCCGGTCAAAAACTTCGCGTTTGGCACGGGGGGTCAAGTTAGTTCCCGCGTGCTTCAAGTGTGGCTCCCGTACGCTGTACTCTCGCGATATCCATGGCCGCGCGCGCCGGTTCAAGGTCGAATACAGGTCAGGTCATGGACCTTTTTAGTTCATGGTACAATAGACATCCTAAAAAGTACAGTAACGCTAATTTTTACGGTACTCACTCCCAGCCGTGACAAAAGACGTTATCGGGTAACGGAAAAACGTTACAGAGCTCAAAATAACGGGCCGACGTTCGTTATGGTAATTCTGCAAAAAATGCAAAAACACGCATTGTTTTTAAACTGGCGGGACATAAGAAGCACGTACAGATCGAGATGAGATTGCTTCCTCTTGTGACATTTAGCTTTTTTGGCGAGTTTTGCCTTTCAGTTGACAATGTCTGCGTCCTCTGCTTCGTGCCTTTCCCATCTGGGAAACAAAGGACCAGTTCCACGGCACTCCTGAGGAAGAAATTCATCGGCCTCTCCTAGACGTGCTGGAGCTGGAAAACCCTTATGCTGTGCATGCTCAGCAGTGTAATTGAATGGAAGAGAACAATTACTTTGGTGTTTTGCAGCTCTGTTTCGTTCCCTGACGGTAAACAAATCTAGATGTAGGAATCTGTTGAGCAGGAGAGTGACACATGTCTTCCCGACGGCTGTCCAGGCTGCAGTGGTGATGAAGAAGACACAATCATCACCCCGAGATCGATTGCAGCGAATTGGAAAACTCATGGTGAATCTGCTTCCACTCCAACGCAATGTCGAAGTATGAAGGGTGCTTGTACTGCCTTCCAAAGTGAAGAGGAGATGAACATGGCTGTGCATAGCTGTTGTTCTACGCCAACATACCTACTCTTGCTGGTACCGTAGTGGCATATTGCAAATTTCGTGGACGAACAACTCTAGTCACTAGTGGCTAGTGAGCAACACTAACAGGTGAGATTTTTCAATTTGACAAAAATTGTTTTTGTTTGAGAACTGGCAGTGGCAGTCATTTGACTCAGTAGGTGTCTTTGCAGCTTCTTTCCCTTCATAGATAGGGTTGTGCTTGAATAGTACAAGTGCTTGAAGTGAAATAAAATAATTAGAACATGTGGATGCGTTATGCAGAGCTCACTGACTTGTCAGTTTGAGCACTCTGGCAAGGTACGTTCGGGCCTAATTGGAAATTTTTATTCCCGTAGCTATGCAGAAGACGTTACTTCAGTAACGTCTGGCGCTAGCCAGGGTCCACACAGCTTTAATTTGGTGTTTGTGTGTTTGTGTGTTTGTGTGTTTGTGTCACGCCTGGAGCTACCGTATCTGTCCCGTATCTGTCCCATACCTGTGATTTGGTGTTTGTTTGTTTGTGTGTATGTTTTGTGTCACGCCTAGAGCTACCGTATCTGTCCCGTATCTGTGATTTGGTGCCGGTTTGTGTGCTTGTGTCACGTCTCGAGCTACCGTATCTGTCCCGTATTTGTGACTACAAAGGTTCTACAGGATTGTTTTTTTGTTTTTTTCTACAAAATCCACATATCTCCAGACACTGGGGTGAATGATGGAGTGTGGTGGTGGGGCCCATTAAGCTCCGCCGACCAGAGGTCTCGGCTTTATAGCTCCATGGACGCACCAAAGGGATATTGGGTGGGAGGATTAAATTGAAAAAGAAAACAGAAGAAAGAAAATGGAAAGATTGTATTGCTCAGTGAGCAAAAGAATAAGTTGAGTATTGATGTGAACGCTGTTAGACTTTTAAATTCAAGAGGAGACTGTCCGTGAGGAGAGATTACATGTATGTCCAAGCAGGGTAGGACACTGTACCCTCTTACTCGCGTATGCTATGAGTGGCCCAGTGCCAGTTCGTTCTGAGGAGATGGTGATAAGCTGCTGTCTTGAACTTTTGGATGTTCTTTGGGTGAAATGGGTGGGGAATGATAGAGGTAGGCAGCTGGTTCCAAATTGAGATGACGGAGTGGGGAAAGGCTCGGCTCACATTGTTCCGGGAATTGGCAGGAAGAACATTCTGTAACTGATGGGGACGTCAGGCGAAATTACTGGTCAGTCGGCGTCACCCATTTTTCACAAAAATTTGCGTTTCACCTGCTGGGAGAGTATGCGTGTACTCGAGTCTCATCCTGAGAACGTTTTTTTCTTCCTTTTTTCAGCTCCAGTATAGCTGTATTTTTCATTGCAAAGCCGTCCTCGATTGTTGTGTTCGTTGTTCAAACGAAGTGGACATTCAATCATGAAGACAGAGGACATAGGAGCCTGATTGGAGTTTCTCGTGGCATATGACGGCCACACAGAGACACTTTGGGATTTTCTGAATATAAAATACCGTACGCACGATGCTGAGCTAATTTGTGCGATATCAAATTGTTTGTGATCTACCACATCGAGTTCAAATGATCCCTGGCTTCACCAGACGCCAGACGTCGGACACGATGTCCTTTGCCGCGACGTCCATCTCCAAAAAGAACTCCATCTTCGTCGTGAAAAGGCTTGAAATACTCAATATTCAACCGAGATTCGCGGTCTCACCCTTTCTCAGATCGAATCATTTTTTGTTGTAGCAGTTGCAGGGCAGATCCCCGCCACTACTTCAACAGAAGATGGCTCCAAAGCATGCCTGGAACAAGCCATATCGAGGTTGCAAGCCAACCCTCTCAGCACTTTTTTTGAAGAAATTCGAAATTTCAATGGTGGAAGATATACTATGAAGAGAATTTCAAAAAGTATATTTCGCGGAGCGATCGCTCAACCTACGTCATTCAAACTTTGCAGGATGGTTCAGACGTACATGCTAGGCATGGAACCACAGAAGATGATATCATAGCTGACACACAGAGTCACACACACAGCAGATTCGTGTGCACAGATACTAAATTAGTGGACGTCGTCATCTTCTTCCCGCTGATCTCAAATGTACGATGACGTGCTATTTCGCCTGACGTGCGCTGTGGACAGTCGTACAGCCTGGCGGGTGAGGCGTGTGGTCCTGGGTTGGTGTGTCGGGGGTGGAGCCATTCTCGAGAGAAGAGCGGGAGAATTATCGCAAAGGGCTTTATACAGGAGGCAGAGGGCAGCGATGGTGCGGCGAATTATGAGGCTAGGAAGCCAGCATTGCGGATGTATTGCCTTGATGGCTCGCTCCTGCACCCAGTCCAGCCGATTCAAGTGGGAAGGAGCTGCCCCCATCCAGACGATTGGGCAGTACTCCATAACCGGCCGGACAAAGGCTTTGTAGGCTCGAAGCCGGGCAGGAATAGTCAGCAAGTGAAATGCCTTGCGCAAGGCTCCAAGTCTCTGCGTTGCTCGGATTGTACATAACAGCTGGCCACAAACAGCTGGCCACAATATTCGTCGTAT